GTGCACGGTGAGTGGGGGTGGGTTCGGTGTGTGTGTGTGTGTGATTGTGTGTGTGTGTGTGTGTGTGTGTGTGCGCGCGCGCGCGTGTGTCTGCGTGTGTCTGTGTGTGTGAGTGTGCATGTGTGCATGCATTGAAATTTCATACATAAGGGTTGTGTCATGCGTTGCCCACGTTCCCAGTGATACTAGCACCTCATTTCGGCACGCCACAAAGCTTTGGCATCGGCGCAAGAGCACGGGAGGGGGGCATGTCTGGGGGCGACGCCAACCCACTCATGAAACCACACAAACGCCCCCGACCGGCCCTGGAAGTCTCCAGGCATGCTGCAACGCCCGCTCTCACCACATCGCAAAACACGCAACCCCCACAATCGCCGCAGTTGCTGCTGGATGGGGTGCGCAAGTCGTACCCAGGAGGCCTCGGGCAGCCGCCCATCTCCGCTGTCGCCGGCCTGTGGCTGCGCGTGCGGCCCGGGGAGTGCTTCGGCCTGCTGGTGGGCGCTGCTTGAGCAACTTTATAGGGGTTTATGGGGTCTTCAGGGCTCAAAAAGCGCAAACACCAAGATGGATACAAGATGGCGCGTGTTTGTCTGTGCAACTCACAAACCCCTGCGCAAGCACACGCACGCAGGCATACACAAACACACGCACACACAATCTTTCATGTAAGCACACACCCACACCGCCACCCACACAACATCGAATTACAGGGCGCCAACGGGGCCGGCAAGACAACCACCTTCAAAGTTGTGACAGGCGAGGTCGACCCCGACGCCGGGGACGCCCAGGTGGCGGGCGCGTCGGTGCTGCTGCGCCGCGGCGCCGCGAGGCGGGCCCTCGGGTACTGCCCCCAGTTCGACGGCCTGCCCTCCGCCATGACCGGCGGTGAGCGAGCAAGCGCATGCCCCCCCCCCTGCTCCCCCTGGTGCGCCCAAACCCTGGGCCGCCAGCAGGGCCAAGGGGCTGGGAGGGAGGGAGGGAGGGAGCGGGGCCGTGGCGCACACCTTCTGATTCGGGCTTTCAGTATGATACCACGGGACACCCCCGCGCCCACACAATCGAGGAAGCTTCCCTTGGCGTCGGCGGGCGCCAACGTCCTCGCCCGCCCCCTTGGGTGCCCTTGAACCCTCAACCCTGAAACCTGAATATGAAAACCCTGAAGCCTGCTTCCGCCTATGCCTGTCTCAACACGCAAGCGTCTCCGCCCGTCCCCACCCCGCAAACTCCCCCATCCCTGTTCTCACTCACGGCTGACACTCCCTGCCCCTCTCCCGCCCCCATCCCCGCCTCCCAAAAACATGAAATGCTACCCCAGCCGAGGTCCTGTCCCTATACGCCCGCCTGAGGGGCGTCCCAGAGCCATCAGTCCCCTCCGCCGTCGCCCCCCTCCTCCGGCGCCTGGGCATCTCCCCCATCGCGGCCCGCCCCGCCGGCGGCTACAGCGGCGGCAACCGGCGGCGCCTGAGCGTGGGTGTAGCGCTGGTGGGGGCGCCGGCGGTGGTTCTGCTGGACGAACCTTCGACGGGCATGGTGCGCACAGGGCAAAACAGGAGGTCCCTTTGATACACCGACCTTTCGAAATTTGCCTTCCACAGCTTGGGGTGCTTGGGAGCGCAGCCAAGCGTGCGGGCTGCTGCTGCGTGCATTGAGGCGAAAACCATTGGCAGCGCCAGCGTCCACGGGTCGGCTGTCTTAAAGTCAAAGGCGCTTTGACCGCCCGCAGGACCCCGCCGCGCGCCGCGCGCTGTGGGACGTGATCCAGGAGGAGGTTGGCGGCAAGGCCCCCCAGGGCGCGCTGGGGCGCGGCGGCACAGGTGCGCGCCGCGCCGGCCCACATCGGCTCGTCTTTGCCCCGGCACGCGCGGCGTGGGTGGGGCGGCCGTTCGTTTTGCAGACTGCTTGGGGAGGCTGGCATTCCTCTCGCGTCGCAAAGTCGGATGCCCTGTGGAAAATACACCCCTTCTTACGCGCCCCCGCCGCCCCTCACCCCCGCCCGCGTCGACCTGCGCCCGCGACCCGCGCGCGCGCTGCAGCAGGGCCTGCAGGCGGCGGCCGCACCGTCATTCTGACATCACACTCAATGGAGGAGTGCGAGGCGCTCTGCGGCCGTGTCGCCATCATGGCCGCCGGCCGCCTGGCGTGCCTCGGCCGCGTGCAGCGGCTGAAGCAGCGGTTCGGGGACGGGTACACGCTCGAAGTGCGCATGGCGCCTGCCGCTCCCGCTGCTGCTGCTGCTGCTGCTGCTACTGCTGGCGCTGATGGTGGTGGTGGTGGTGTCGAGGGGGAGGGCCCAAGGGGCGGCAGCGAGGGCGCTGCGGCGTTCGAGGCCCGCGGCCGAGAGCTCCTGACCCGCGTCCGCGCCGCGTGGCCGGGCGCGGCGCTGGCGGAGGCGGACGCAGCTTCGCGGCAGCTGCTGGTTCGCCTGCCGCCGCTGGCGGGCGCCACCGGCGGCGGCGGCGGCGGCGGTGGCGGCGGCGCGCTGGCTGCTGCGTTTGGGGTTTTAGAGGGGAGCAGGGGGGAGCTGGGGGTGGCCGATTACAGCTTCAGCCAGAGCAGCCTTGAGCGCGTGTTCCTGAGGGTAGCCGCGCAGCAGGCGCAGCACGGCTCACCCGGCGGCGGCGGCGGCGGGGCCGGCGGCGGATGAGCGGCTGAAGGTTTGCTAGGGGAAGGCGGCGGTAGCAGTGCGGGCCGCGGCCGCTCGCCTTTGGACAGAGGTGTTGCGCACCCGGGGAATGAGGCAACCGGGGTCATCCAGGGTGCGAAGCCGATCGGGCTGTGCATGCCAATTAAATGATGTGGGACTGCAGCACAATCGACCTCCGCCTGCTTTGCGGGCACTTTCTGTAACATCGTGCTGCGGGTAAATATCGGTCAAGATCTCGAAGAGGCAGTTGACCGAGGAGAAGCAGCGCGTGCTGGTCCTCACCCAGCCGCTAAACGCAGCTTGGCAGTGCAGCCGCAAGCTCACTAGCCGCCGAGGACTGGCCGCGTTGGCGGGCTCGCCAGCAGAGCATGCCACGGGCCCTGGAGCTGCGGGTTGCTGCTGGTCCATGCCGGCAGGTCTGCGCAGCCGCACCGCCCGCGTCCTTGCCATTGTGCATTCATATGCAAGTGCTTGGACTGCGGCGCCGACGGCGTCACTGAAGGCGACCCAGCAGGGTATGTAGAGAGGGGGTGCAAGGATTTTGCGCTTGAATTGCGTCAGCGCCCCAGGATGGCCCGCTTCTGCAGCCACCCAGGCTCGTGGGGTTGAGCTTTGAAGCATCGGCGCTGTGTGACTGGGATCAGGTGCCCCCCACCCGCGCCGTTCAAAGCAGACGAGCGCGAAGGCGTCAAGTGCGTGTTGGTCTACGCTGCTCGAAGCTACATGCGCCCAGAAGCAGCCTCCCACGTCTGTCGGCTTGCACATGATTCAGCTGCCAAATCGACCTGCACCTATCCAGCTGTGTGTTCTGTTGCAGGAAAGAGGGGGTCGTGGACTGCATGATTACAGAATTTTGTACGGCTGCCTCTGACACGCTGCCGTGCGGAACAAGGTTGGCCCAACCTTGTTCCGCACGGCAGGTCATGCGGTCGTCACACAATTCTGTCGGTGATGTGGTGTTGTATGTGGATCCTGCAGCAACACAGAACACTGTTGTGTGCGGAAGATGGGGTTGAGAAGAGCAAAAAGGTCAGTGGAGAAAAGTGCTTTCACAGCGACCCAGCAAGTACACAGTGCGGAGCAAAAGCGGTCTGGCAAGGTGTTATAAAGCAACGCATTCTGCTGAGGGCGCGGCCCACTACGTGCTCACATGTGCGCGGGGCACAGCAGAGCACATGGAAGACGCGAAGGTCAAACATCCAGGTCAAAACGCCAAGTTGTGTTCAAAAGCACGTGAGAGACTACGCAGGACAGATTGCACAGCACCAAGGGTGCCCGCTGCACAAAGGGTGTACAGTACTCGCAGCAGCAAGGGAGCAGCGCCAACAGCCGCCGGAGGAGGAAGCAACCAGAGCAGTCGAGGGAGAGGGAGAGGGCATCATGGGATTGCAGCAACACACTTTGTGAGCGGCCTGGTGTTGAGGCGCGAGAGCGCATCAAAGCACAACAGGCTGCCTTGCCTTGCAGCGCGGTGAAGACCGCATCGGACTGTGCGGAGCGCCATCAGCGGGCACACGAGCAGGCGCCGCTTCTGTTTATACATTATTCATTGTAAGACACTTGTCTCTGTGCACAATTCCTGGTCTGACTCCAGCCCACTCCTTTCAGCCCCAGCCATGGCCATGCAGGCAACCAGCCCGGCCGCCGCACGAGCGCCGCATCACACCCTGTCCCCCCGCCGCCGCGCGACGACGCACGCGTCGTCCGCCGCCGCGCCGGCGCCGTCTCCCTCGCGCGCAACGCGCTCGACGCCCGCGCTGCTGCCGTTGCGCGAGAACACGCGCGACGAGATGGTGCGCAGGCCGGCAGGGACCTTGCTGACGACTCGCGACACGTGCCTGTGGCGCCGCTGCACAGAGTGCACGCAGAGCATCAGACCTGCAGCCAGGACGCTTATGCCCAGCATGACCCAGAGCCCTGCCACCTGCGAGGGGATTTGGGGCGGGCCGCGGCGGTCGGATGCAGGGCGACAGGGATCCAAATGCATTCACAGGCGTGCGTGTGAGTGTGTGTGTGTATGTGTGTGTGTGTGTGTGTGTGTGTGTGTGTGTGTGTGTGTGTGTGTGCGCGCGCGCAGGCGCGCACGTGTGCGCGCGCGTGGGGAAGAGGGGGTGCGTGTGGGAGGTCTGGGGCAGCAGGACAGCGTGTGTTCAGCTGTTTGGCTCAAGCACACTGCAACACGCCGCAAATGGCACTTTTTTAGAGTCCAAGCGTGCGCAGAAAAGGGGTTGGCCGCTCCTGCCCGTGCGACCCAAGGATTGCGTCACACACCACACACACACACACACACACACACACACACACACACACACACACACACACACACACACAAACACACACATACACACTCACACACACGATCTGGTCCGGCCCCGGCCAAGCCAACTTGTTCGTGCCTTACCCGAGAAGCTCTCTATGTGTGTCGTGGTGGTGTTGACCAGCCCGCCCTGCCCAGCCAGGATGCCGTACAGCTCTCTGTTTTTGAGGGTTGGAAAGTGATGTTCACAGTGGGAGGGCGGAGGGGGCGAGGGTCACGCACGAGGCGGGACTGACACAGTGAGGCGCCCTGACAGGGCAGGTGATCCACGAGCACAAATGTGCTGGTTTTAGGAGGTGCGAGGCTGCAAAACAAAGGAAGCTGCT